GCCCCCTAAGTGATAAGTAACGAACATTTTTCACAATTTTTTGTCACAAAAGCTGACATGCAACTCGTATTTGATTAGAGATGACCTATTAATTATAATATCATTTGTTCTTATGAAGAAAAAGAATTTATTAATGATGAAGTAGCTTAAGGATATTTCATATCATTTTGATGTCTTAATGTAATAATTAACATTGGATCAATTGTGAATTTATATATAATTGAAAATCTTTTGGCATTGGCGTTCGAAGTTTTTAATGTACAAATATGTAAAACTGTTGGTAGTTTCACACTAGAAGACAAATTTAATAGGGCTGCACATTAAAATTTTCAAGACTCATACATTTATGTCTTATTTATTCGTCTCTAAGAAAACACTTTCAATGCCAACATGGTATTTCAACCGTAGTTGATTTATGTATTAAACTTAGGGGGAGTTCTATGTAATGTTTCTTATATTTTTATTTTCCAAATTCCTGTTTCTTTTCTTGAAGCAGACATTTGGCTGTTCTTCTTGAACAGCATGGTTTTGTTTAGTTAAATGATAATATTTTTGGAGAATTATTAATAGTTAAAATAAAATGTGCTTTTTCTGAAAAAGCTAATTAAATGAGAAAAGGAAGTTAAAAAAAGGGCATTTTCCCAGAAGCTATTGCAATGGTTAGACAAAAACGCAAATAATCAAATTTAGTATTGATGTTTATTACTTATTTGTGAAAATTAGCATATTTTATTGCAATGTTTTAGTAATTATGTATTTTTTTTTAAAGTACTTTTTCAAAAAGGACTTCCCAGAAGTTATGTTGAGACTTGAGCCTGGGATCCGGCCCCTCATTTCAGAGATTTTGCCTGCTTACACTCTGCAGCTTTCAGAGCTTCTAGTCTGAAACGCAGTGGCTAGGCACCTTTTTTTTATTGCTCTAGCTGTCAGCGTGTCACTTTCATTTTCTCCGAAAGTACTTTTCTTCTCCAAAACCCTCAGAAACTGAAGAGAGTAATGGCAGGCAACACACACAACAGCAAAAACAAGAGATCGCATGGCTTCTGCCAAAGCATGGCTTTGATGGCCTGGTAATTTCATTTACTCTCTCTGTTTCAGCACATTCTTTTCTGGGTTTTTTTGTTTTTTGGTTTCTTTGATATGGATGATGAAAAGTTTGATTCTTTACTGTTCTATTGTTGATGGGTTGCAAAAATATGCAGTAAAAGTGAAGAAATCTGTTAGCTTTACAAGCTCTGAGTTTTGTTGTATGTAAAATTATGAATTGTAGTACTCATGAGTTTTAAGACTATTGTTAAATTGAACAGGATTCCAATTTAGAAAATGAAAAAAAAAAAAAAAAATCAACTGGCAATAACATATTGTTTAGCGAATATTTAAGTGGGTAGATTTTGGAGTTACCAACTAGGACTAACCGGATGGTCCGGCCTGTGAGTTGTTTTTATGAAAAAACCGTCGAGGGTTCCAACTTCGAACTCTTGTTCTTTTTTAATTTGGTGGGTTAATGTATTGAGAGCAATTGAGAGAGGAAGAAAGTTTAAATCTTTCTCATATTATAATAAGTGCTTGTGAATGATAAAGTCACTTTATTAATTAGATTGAATGGAGCTTCAAGTTTGCTTTAGGCCAAGGATCAGTTTTTGTGAATATTTTTTACTGATATGAAAATATGCAGACGATGAAACTGATTTCCTCTATTTCTNTGGGAGCTAGCCATCCAGAACGAAGCTCTCAGTTCTAAGAGTTCATTCTGATGTACTTGTGAGTTAACTTTCAAACCTCAATTTTTTGTTTTTAATTTTTAGCTCTTAGCTCTAAGAGTTCATTCTGATGTACTTGTGAGTAGGGCGGTAAGCGAGCCAGGTTCGGCTCGACAAAAGTCGAGTCGAGCTCGAGCTCGAGCAGCTCGAGTACCCTCTCGAGCCTAGCTACAAACCACCCACTACTCGGCTCGATAGGCTCGTGAATGACTCGAAAGGGTATAAGTGCTATTTTTTTAAGTATTAGGGGGTTATACGTAATTTATTATATCCAATATAAATTATCCCACTTCCTAAATCCTATCTTCTTTCTCCAGCGTCGCCACTTTCTCCTTCCCTTTTCTTCATCTTTTTTCTCCTTCATCTTTTTCCTCCTCCATTTTCCTTCTTCTTCACCTTTCTTCTTACTTCTCCTTCGCTCTTCCATCTCTTTCCTTCTCCCTCTTTGCTTTTCTTTGCTTTTCTTTTCTCTCCTCTTCTCTTTTCTTCTATCTCTCACAGTTGATGGAATTTTGAGTCATATATTTGTGGCTATTTGGCTTTGGATCTGATGATGGTTGGTGATGATTAGTGGGTTGGCTTTGTATTGGGGCTATTTTGAAGGATTGTTGATGGATTGTTTTGGATTGAGGACTTATAAACGAGCGATTCGCGAGCTGAATTCGAGCTCAAAATATTTAACGAACTCGAGCATCAAGCCTGGTTTTCAGAGCTCGTCAAACTCGAGCTCGAGCTCGAGCTCGTTAAATTTTCACGAGCCGAGCCGAACACTGGCTCGTATACAGCCCTACTTGTGAGTTAACTTTCAAACCTCAATTTTTTGTTTTTGTTTTTGTTTTTAATTTTTAGTAGTCTCAAACCGACACGATGATCGAACATCTTGAAGAATTAATCTTAGAAATACTCATCAGACTGCCCGACAAATCCCTTGACAAATCCCTTGTTCGTTTTAGATGTGTGTCAAAGTCGTGGTGCGCTTTGATCGACAGCGGACAGCCAACATTTCATCAGCTTACATCTTCAACACTCCATTAATACCCAAACAAACCTTCATGTTATTCTCTCCGATTGTGAAAATAAAACAGATCACTACTCGCTGGCTTTTGATGAAGTTTTCGATGAACCCTTAACTAAATTCAACAACGTATTTACATCTGATAAGGGTTACAAGATTGTTGGTTCCTGCAATGGGTTGCTCTGTCTTTCCTATTCAATTCCTAAGAATGAGAGACTTATTTTATGGAATCCATTTACTAGGAGGTATAAGAAGTTACCCACTGCACGTGTCAGCAAGCTTCGCCTTTCCCCAGCTTATCGCTATGGATTTGGATATGATGATGTCAGCAATGACTATAAGGTTTTGAAATTAATTCCATCATATGGCTTGAAATCTTATAGGCATATTGGCAATGAAGCAGAAGTGTACAGTCTAAGATTGAATTCATGGAAGAGGATTGAAAACTTCCCTTATAGTGAATTTAAGTTTTTGCGTAGTGCTTGTTTTGTAAATGGTTCATTATATTGGTTAGTGTACTTTGAATCATATAGGATGGAGGCTCAAGATTTCGAATCCCCTTGGTTAATTGTTGCTTTTAGTCTCGAGGATGAAGAATTTCATGAGCTGCCACTTCCCAGTACTTCAAATAAGGATGATGATTTAAAGTATCCGGGAGTAGGAGAATCTGAGGGGATGAAGCCCTGGCACTAATTCCAAATTCATAGAATCTGCACCAAAAAGTGGTAGTTTCAGGTATTAGAAATCGTATCTGCATCAATTCATTGAAGATAAGGTTGAGTTCATGACCTTGGAAAGGAATATAACCTTCCTCTTGAAGCCGAGGATATGCATAGTAACTTAGCAAATTGGTCGCACTAGAAGTGCGTAACATAATGCTTGGTAGCTTCAGATTGCAAGCCACTGCTTCTGCAAAGTACATGAGTCCATCATAAATGACGCAGGGAAGCTTGTCGTGCTGATCCTGTTCTTCTATGATCCGAATCAGTACTTCCTGTAGTGGAGCTCTTCAGTTTAATTTAAGATCAGACACAAAAGCTAAAAAATTACCAGGGACTTGACTAGTGTTCGATAAGCCTTCTGATAATGATAATGGTATGAAGAGGAAATCAGGATGTTTGGAAGTGTCAGGAACTTTGAATTGGGTGTGAGCAACTGTGATGGAGAAGCCATTGGAGTGAAGAATGGTGCCCAGCTGAAGAATAGGATTGATGTGGCCTTGGAATGGACATGGATGATGGAAATTTTTATGTAACACAATTGAAGTCAAATTAGCATCCGTTAATTATATAGACAAGATGGCAAGCATAACATTAGACGACATAGATACCATCACCATCTAAAAAAGACAAACTTTACAGCTGTGCAACTATATGTCACAAAACAATGAGTTCAAATATGCTGTGCAACTACACAGCAATTTTTAACACATCCAGCTGAGTGCTCGCAGAAAATCTAGATTTTCTGCGAGAATGAACGGCTGAACTACACTACACATCTGATTCACAGTGAGACTTGTGCGACTCTAGAACCATTCTTTCAGCTTCTGCAACTACTTGTCCGCTAACATGGTGCTGTCGGCATGCATGCATGTAGATATCAGATCTTCCAATCGGTTCAATCTGTATCTCTTCCGTCTTCCTTAAGGTGAAGAAGCACACTTCCCGCAGAACTTGCATCAAGCGGTTAATTTAGTAACGTAATCTGCCAAGGGAATTATATCACGCGCAGAACCAAAGCTCCGTCATTAATAATGACTGAAATATCATTTTTTTTCTTCGGTTAAATAAAGAGATGATATTTCAGTCATTTTTTAAAGAAATCGAGAGAGCTACCTCTACGTTAAAGCACCAGACAACTAAAGTTGATTGATAAAATATTGCAAGTGGGTTTAATGAGTAGATATAGGGGTTGAATAATGTATTCAATGGGTTGATTTTGGTTATAAAATTGTTTAGTTTATATATATCTGTAGAGCGCTAAACTATAACAACTTAAATTTTTAACTTAAAATGTTGATGTGATTATATAAAGAAGCACAGATAACAATTTTCAATCATCTCTTGGGTGTTATGATTGATATTTTATGACTGATAAAGCTACTAATTTGTTCTGTAGAGAATCCCGGATGCTTTTGTGAAGTACTTGAATGGATTCCCGAAGAAAGCTGTGCTTCAAAATCAAAGGGGAAAGCGTTGGCATGTGGAGATGGCCTACACTGATATATGGTGTTATTTGCAAATGGCTGGCAGAAGTTTGTTGAAGATAATTATGTAGAGCCGGAAGATTCTTTAGTTTTTAGCTATGATGGTGATAATATGTTCGATGTTCTGATTTTTGAGAAAAGTGGATGCGAGAAGAGGGAAACTAGTGCCACCGTGAGCATTGACATGGATGTGAACATGGAGGAGAAAGAAGATGATGAGGATGACATTGTTGTGATTGAGGGTGTTGAAAATGATGGTGATGAAGATTATTTCGAAGAAGAAGAAGAAGGAGAAGAAGCAACGCATAGAGGCAAAAAGACTGGTGGAAACAATGGTAAATATCTATTTTCTCTTCTTCATTTAAGAATAAATTTATGTGCCTGTTTGAATTTTATGCTGATGTGTTGTGGTGTAACTGTAAGCTACTGGTTAAATTTGATTCAGGAGGATCTAAGAGAAGGGCTCCTGTTAACGTTGGATTGCCCAAAGGAGTTGACGCAAGCAGTTATGTTGAACCTCAAAACCCCGACTTCGTGCCCAAAAAAGTGGGGGATAAGAGGAACTATTTGGTGATAATCTCTGCTCATCTGTGAACCATACTTTACATGGTTTGTTGCAGAGAGAGAGAGAGGAGAGAGAAGCAATGAGATGAGGTATAAAAAATATATGCACAAAAAATATATAAAAAAATAGGATGAAGAAGAAGAAGCAAGATTCCTTAACAGTAATTCAACCTTTCTTGCCCTCAACTTGTGATTGAAGGCACATAGAAAAGTTGAATTGAAGCATCTGTTTCCTCCTAGTCTTCTAGTGAGGAGACGGTGATAAGTTTTATCCATAAACTTCACATGCCAACCACCCAGGCTTTCTATCACTCCTTTTACAAAAATGTGTCAGAAGCAGACTTCAGCAGACATGGCAAATTAAATCTGAATAACCTCAATTACTGCCTAGCAGAAGATTGGTAGGACAGGGAACAATTACTGTAGGACATCAAGCAGGTCAACATCCTCTTTGATGACCTGCATACTCAAAATCCAACGTGAATATTTAAGAGTGGTAACAAATAGTGGATATCACAGGAGGTGGTGAATACTCGGGACTCCATATCACCACCTTATAAAGAGTTCAAACAGCAAGATTCAAACTGAAGACTTACGCCCAATTAGACATCTAATGCACATAAGAAACAATAGCATATTTCAAGCACCATACCTATATAAGAGGCCACCATATTCTATATATTTCCTAACAGCACTAAGGTTGAGACATGTGGAGCCTTACGAACACACAAAAGGCCGCATTGATATAACAAGCATAAAGAAATAGAAATGTATGGGAAAGGAAATAATTTCAACGACCTGACTAGTTGCCACATAAATCGGGAGCATAGCCTGCGTCCTTTAAAGTACAAGTCATTTCCTTAATCATCTCATAGATCTCCTCAGAATGACTATGAGATTTATCACTCATAAGGAAGAAGTGGACCACTCCTTGAACTTCAATCGTACTATAACCAGGCTCCGTCATCACCCCTATCTCTCTCAGCTTCCCCCCTGACATCTGCAACATTGTCCCAGGACCCAACTATGGCAAATGCATTAGCCAATACCACATACTTCCCAGCATTGTCTGGATCAAATTCAAAGTACTTTGTTGCTGCAAGCTTCACCAGGTTCATGTCTCCATGAATTCTACATGCTCCCCCCATATCACAGAATGTTCCTTGCAAGGTGAGTTTAGAACAAACTCATAAGCTTCCTGCAACTTCCCAGCTCGCCCTGAAAGGTCAACCATGGCTGCATATTGTTGCCCTTTAGGTTGGATTCCATAATCCCTCGTCTTGCATGAGAAATAATACCAGCCTTTGCTAACTAAACCTCCATGGCTGCAAGCAGCAAGCACTGCAAGAAAAGTAATGTAATTTGGTCTGAAACCTTCATCTCTCATCTTCTGAAATGATTCCAGAACCTCTTATCACTTTCCCATGCTGGCCATACCCAGATATCAATGCAGTCCAGGTGACAACATTTCTATTTAATAATTTATCAAATACTCGATGCCCATCAAAAACACTGCTGCATTTAAAGTACATATCTATAAGGGCACTATTGACTACAACATTTCATTTTTCCCAGCATTGCACTTTATCATGACACCATGGGCTCGTTTGCCATGCTCAATGTGGCCAAGGTGGCACACGCTCTGAACACTGATGCAAAGGTGTATTGGTCCTTTTCTCTCAACTTATAATAGAATTCTGGTCCAAATTCTTCAAGCCCCTTCTGCACATACCCAGTAATCATTGCATTCCAAGAAATTAAACTTTTCTCCTGCAACTTATCAAACAGAACATGAGCAGTTACTAGATTCCCTGACTTTGCATACAATATCAACAATTTATTTTCCAAATACTCATTGGGAACATACCCAACAATAACCATTTGTGCATGGATTCTTCTCCCCTTTCTATATTCTTTCATGAATATGCACTCTTGCAATAAAAGAGAATATGTCCCTGCTTCCACTTTCACTCCCGTTCGCCATAAAAGCCTATTAGCTTCACCTAACCTCCCCGAAAAACAGAGGCCTTTTAATGTTTTATCCAGATGGCCGAAATTCTTACACGAGCCAACCTGAAAGCTGGGAAATGGGAATATCTCACTCGTGATAATCCCACCACACCATGGAACAAAAACAGTTTTGCAGTCTATTCCGTCAAATTAAATTTCTTACAAAGACAACAATTAAAAAAATTTGACCTTTCATGAGAAAAGCTGTTGCCTTTTCCATTGTACTACCAACTCATAAAGACAATAACAGACCGAAACATAAATTTCAACCTAATTCCATAACTCTCCTTTCTCAACCAAACATAGATGATTTAATAAATTTTAAACTATTTAGCATGCTTTGGTATTTTGTACTCGCAAACTAGTAAGGAATAATATGATAACTCCAGTTATTCAATTGTTGAATCAATTGATGCTAGAAACATGAAGAAATGTTTTAGTAAACCAGTATTTTTTTCTCAACTTAACACAAAACTGAAAATGTGCTACTTTTAAGGATGTCTTTATACATCAGCTCTGCTATTGACACCGAGCGACACCAAACTTTCAATGCACGTCGCAACTTCAAAACCAGTTACGAAACGAGATAAGGGAAATTTGCTGTATTCTTTGTCCCTCAAATCATACCAGAGCACAGTCCTCAACCCGACAGCTAGGAGAAGTTTTTTACCCTTATCCGTATATGTCAAAGGCCTGCAGTATGAGGCTTCATTAGAATTAGAGTCTCCAAACACAACTAAATGTTGTTTAATCCAGGTCCAGGGTTCCTTGTTTTTTGCCACCCATATGACAGCAGTGGAGAATTCCTCATTTGATGCACAGACACTCAAGCAATCTCCTAAAACCCCCAAACAGAGGTCATCAATGCTGTCAACATCGGGAACTTGCAGCAGATCAAATTTTTCCACCCCTAGGTTAAACCTAACAACTACGGGTTTTGCAGTTGATTTATTCATTTTACGTGCCAGCCAATGTAAAGCTCCATTTATGAAACACCCCTTCTTGGGAAAATCAAACCCACCGAATGGGAACTCTTCAACCTTTGTCCACAAATTTGATGTTGAGCTGTAAACCTTTACATCACTTGCCAACAGCTTACCATCCTTGAATGATTGGAAGATCTGGACTACCTTATAGTCATCTGTCACCTCATCATGTCCAAATCCATGGCTAAAACGATTGGAAGCTCCCAGAATCCTGTTTACCCTGACATGGGGTATCATTTTATACCTTCTGGTGAATGCATTCCAGAGAGCAAGTCTAAATCCCATAAATGACACATCACCATAGAGGCAGATTATCCCATTACAACAGCCCACAATTTCATAATCCGTGTTAAACCGTTGGCTGTAAACTGGTATTAGTGTTTGATCACGAGAAGCATCAACAGAAACAAATGTTTGAATCCTCTTTGGGCCAATAACCAGACGGCTTGACACAAACAAATGGAGGTTGTCGCTATTTGTCTTGCTATGTTGAAGATACAAACTCCCAAATTCTTTGCTGTTGATGAAGTGAAGCCAGTCCGTTGATACACATTTAAAAAGCATCAGCATCTTGACTGGAAGTTTTAGAATGACTAACTTGATTATCAAATCCTTATTATCTTCGGACATTTTTTGTTCTGTCACTGGCAAACATGTAGTCATTATTAGTTAGTTGGAGAATTTGCAAATTCTATGCATAATAACGTATTTGTTCTATAAGTTTAGAAAACCAACTCACAAGGAATGATGTCCTCATGCTATACCGAATAACTTCGTAACTATAGGAGCGACACTAGTTTTTACAACGATAACTAGAACAACAGATGCTAGCAAAATGTCCACATGGTTCCATAGAAAATGTACATGTATAGGCATTCCAATATTAGAAAGGAAGAGAGTTGCAGACAAGTCACGAATTGGTTCTACCTACAGTGCAGAATTGCTTCAAATTCAGGGAATATGTCTAAAATATTCTCAGAAATGAAACTAACAAAAGAAAAAAATTTGTTGGTGACAACCAGAATAATGCAGTATCTTCAATGAACACAACCCTGTGGGTAATTGATATTTTATGGGTTCAGCCACTCAATTTCAGAGCTTAATGAAAAAGATTGCAAATTGGCACTTATGCTGTTTCAAACAAATTACAAGCTAAATGAAATTCCTATAATATTGTAAATGCATGAATACTGCCACCATCCGTAAACCAACAAGCGGCACAGTCCTAGAAGACCTAGTTTGAAACTTTCCCAACTCCCCTCACCCACGAATTGGGCTCGCATGCCAGACACAAGACGTTACCAAGTAGTAAGAGCTAAGCCAAGATCGGGGAGGCTAATCTTCTATGATCAGGACTAAAGTTAGCTTCACAGGAACTGGAAAATGAGTAAGTGCTATCAAAGTTGTAACTTCTAATTGAACCACTAAGATCCACATTCATAAAAAGGCTACAAGGACATGACAAAACATAACCTAAAAATATCACTTTCTTGTCATTTTATCTAGTGAGTGAATCATTCGCTTAACCAAAAAGCCCATAAATATATGTATGTTGTGAAGTCCATGAATGAAAGAACATTTAATATCTGATTCTCAATCATTTCTATTCTGGTTTGATAAAATGTTGATTTGAGCATTAGAGTCCTTTTATAGGTACATTATCTGTCATTCCTTTCCAGGGAGAAAGTACTCACAGTCACAAAAGCAGAGTCATAAGATGAAGGTAAGATTGGTCTAAATGATAAGTTTCAATTCCTATAACATTGTAAATATATGAAACAGTGATAGTTTGGGAGGAAAAAAGAATTAGATAGGTCAGAAACTGTTGTTTGGTTACCGAGAAAGTTCAAGAAATTAAGTTAAAGAAATGCCGCTCATACCTGCTCACGATCTCTTCTCCTCCGCTCCACAATTTCTCTGTTCCCGCTCGAAGTTAGTATTTGCAGCTGAAGTGATTGTTTGAAGGAAAAAGAATCAGATAGCTGAGAAATGTTACCGAGAAATTTAATGAAAGTTAAAGAAATGTGCTCATACCTGCTCACGCGCTCTTTACCTCTGCCGCTCCACAATTTCTCTGTTCCCGCTTGAAATTAGCATTTGCAGCTGAAGTGATTGTTTGAAGGGAAAAGAATTAGATAGCTGAGAAATTGATGTTTGGTTACCGAGAAAGTTCAAGAAAGTTAAAGAAATGTGCTCACACCTGCTCACGCGCTCTTCTCCTCCGCTCGACAATATCTCTGTTCCCTCTCGAAGTTAGCTATTTGCAGCTGAAGTGATTGTTTCGGAAGGAAAAGATTTAGATAGGTCAGAAATTGCTGTTTGGTTACTGAGAAAATTCAAGAAATGTCGCTCATTCCTGCTCACGCGCTCTTCTCCTCTGCTCCGTAATTTCTCTGTTCCCGCTCGAAGTTAGTTATTTGCAGCTGAAGCGAAATAGTTAGTGATGGTTTGAATTACATTTGCCACATCATCAACTTCGCCACGTCAACCGCCTTATAAACTTGTTCTTGAAACACAATCCCACCATTCAAAACCTGAAAATCAACGTTAAATATAAATAAATAAATAAATTCTTTAAAAACAATTCCAAAGAAATAAAAGCAACTCTACAATTCTTACCTGTGCATGGCGTAGTTGAACTCGATTGCGGAGCAAAGTGCTAGTATTACTGCCAGCACTCGAGGTCAAAAGATTTTTTAATTCCCATATCACCATCATTAAAGATAGATTACTCTCAGGTTCTTTGATCTTTACATTGCTCAATAACCCTCTGTTTAACTTTAGGTTGTAATAAATATACCCAAACATCTCCCCCTCTTTAACTTCATTACAGCACCTCAAAAGTTCTTCTTTCTTTATCGGAGTAATTAACATCTGATTTCTGCGGGAGAAAAAAATAGTGAAGAAGAAAGTTAGAATGCTTTTGAAAGAAGTTATTGAAGTTGAAATAAGTTGAAAACACAGATCGTAGCCGTTTGACCCAGTTGATGGTGGTTTCACCTTGTGAACATTGGTGAGATGAGGTTTTTCCCCTGCCAGATTGTGGTAAAATGTTACTGCTAGTTGAAATAACTTCTATGAACATTGTTGCACAGAGAGAGAGAGAGAGAGGGACTGGAGGAGAGAGAAGCAGTGAGATGAGGTTATCAGCCATGGTCAGGTTATGTTTAACTGTCAAAGTTTTAAATTTCCGAGTGTTTAACTGTTAACGGCTAGTTTCTGACATTTTTTTATTTTTTTTCTGATAATGGAATGGACACTTTTCTGCTAATAAAATTTATCATTACAATTATTATTTTTAACATTATTTATTATAATTTTTTTGAATATTTTAAGATTTTAAACATGTTATGATTTAGGATGATTATGAGGAACGAAAGCCAAGAGAAATCAGAATGGTAAAGCCAAATATTGGCCATATTAGGCTTACTATTCAATCAAACTTTAACCAAGTACTGGGCATATTAGGCTTATTATTAACAGCAACCAACTGCATATTGAGAGAAACCGATGAAGAAGGAGAAACTCAATACCTAAGTTTTATCATCAACATAGCCATTGTACATATATAATGTAATTGAGAATTTATGTCTACATATTACATATCTGAAGTGCACGATATTTAAAAAGGGACACCTAACTTCTACTTGTTTATCACTGTCCCACTTCTACAGGCCAATTTATGTCCTTCTACAATGAGGTGGTTGCATGATACAGAAACATGGGACTGATGATGTGAACATCTCCCTTTGAGATTTTCACTTTACAGATTGGGTAGACTGCAACCATGACAAGAACATGGCTTTTAACAGAGAAGTGTTTTCCATGCTTGTAAAACTTGACTTGTAAGCATGAGGTATCACCGAAGGATGAAAGTTGGCTTCCAGGCCATACTTCAAGAAACATAACCATGTTTAACTGTGAGTAAGACTAGACCTTTAAGGTTCCCCGCATACCAAAAATTGGTCTAGATAATTTTCCTCTCATTGTAATATTCAATTATTCATTAGTATCCCCAGAAAGTAAAATTCGTGTCTTAAGGAGTATTCTTAAAAAACATGAAGCACTTCTTCCACTGCATAAAATCAGCCTGTCAAGATTCAGAAGACTTGCGTTCTCATCCAATGAATTCCAGGTGACTGATGTCCAATCCAAAAGATGCTCCCAGTGTCCCAACTGATTGTCACCTCAAGAATATTCAAGATAAATCCGACCCATAGGCTAATTGATGCACACTTGTCTCAGGTAAGGAAGGGGTCAGTTATAATCAGACTGACAGACGAACTCTTCCAAAGCTTAAAAAGCTCAGAAGTGTGAAGAAGAGATGCCATTTTCTGAAAGTTCCCTTGCCGTCACCAATTCTCGGCATAGGTGAAGTTCTGACTCTCCTTATCCATTCCCTTAAAAGGGATTTGAGACTAAGATATACCAAGTAACATCATTAGGTAGAAAGCCGTTCTCAACTCCTCTATGCAGAATGAAACAAGCATCATTAAACAGGCCCCCCTTGCAGTGCCAACTGATTAAAGTATTATAAGTAATAACATCAAGATAAATTACTTCAGCTTGTAATTTATCAAAGAGATTTAAGCCTCCCGAATGCAATCCATCTTGCACAAACCATTTCTGAGGCTGTCATAGGTGACTATATCAGGTGTCAAACCTCGATGAGTCATATCCCTTAGAAACTCAAGGGCAGTATTTACTTTCCCAGTTCTACAGAGACCATTAATCAAAATATTGCATGAGATATTGCTTCCTTCCTCATCATTTCTTCAAACAAAGCCAACCCTTTATCAACAGCCCCGGCTTTGCATAGTGCCTTTATCGGGCCATTGTAAGTGATTTCATCAAGAGGGCATCCTCTAAACAACATATCATTTACAAGCTTAAGTGCTTCTTGGATTGCACCTCTTCTGAGAAAAACATGGATTAATGTGTTGTAAGTTACTGTCTCGGCAATTACACCCTCCAATAACATGTTCTGATACAGTCTCAAAGCAGCTTCTATCTTATCATCCTTGCACAGACCAGATATTAGAGAATTTAAATGTAAAAATGTCAAGTGTATATCTTCTGCTTGGCATTTAACCAAATATTTCAAAGGCCACACAAACCTTCACAGCTTTGCATACAGCACTTATAAAGCAATTGTATCCCACCGTATTCAAACTAAGCCTCTTAGCTGACATCTAATTCATGATATCATTATCATACAAAATATCCTTGGCTTCATAAAAACATCCACTTGTCACAAACCCATTAATTGTTCACCAATGCCCTTGCTTCATCAACTCGCCCGGTTCTACACAACCCATGCATTAACAATCCATATGCTACAGCATCAGGGGTGAAACCCCGATGAAGCATCCGATCGACCCATTTTGCTGCTTCCCGCAGAATTCGCATCAAGCGGTTAATTTAGTAACAAAATCAGCCACGGGAATTATATCAAGCACAGAACCAAAGCTCCTTCTGCCAACATATTTCTCGCCATCAAAAAGGACTAATATAGTTCAAAAAATGTTAAAGGCAACTAGAACTTCTAAAAGTATAAAAGCGAAGAATCAGTGTAGAACATTATCACACCTCAAATAGTCGCCATTCAGTCCAGCAACTATCACAGTTTTGCCATCATGATCAGCAGCTTCACGACAAAACTCATAAAGGGCATAAAAGAATTGAGCCTCATCAATGCCAATCACATCTAGCTGTCACCATGTACTGGACACGAGTAGAAATTATACAGAAAGATAACTTATAAATCCAACTAAAGTAGCAAGAAATACACACTCAAATCAAGATTTACAAATGTGCAGGCAACATTCTTTCTAACAGGATTTGCCTTTCATTTTACAGTCTTCACCAACCGTTATCAAGACAATGCACATTTACAAAGTGGGTACTACTTATAATCACAGAGATCATACTGTTAATTAAATATCAATCAGACAGCATCCTTTTTCATAGCAGAGATCATTATATTTTCGCATTGGATTACCTTATCATAAGCATCAGAACCAAATTTTTGTCTGAATGATGACAGATTCGCCAATGCACAACATGGCAATTTCACTCCGTCATATGTAACTATAGAATCCAATCCATATCTAGTGTCTTTGTTGGATTTTATTACTGCTAGAATTCTGCATAACAGGCCAAAAAAAAGAACAAACGATAGTAAGAACAAGCCCAAGTATACTTAAATGTTTTATTCAAGTTCCAGTTCAGTATTAAAGGCAAACCTGTTGATGAAATCCTACATTCTAGTTAACATGACGAATACAGGTAAAAATCATCGTAGTAATTAAAAAAGAGAGTCTTAGGATCTTCAAATAAAACCTAATTAACGGGCAAATCCAGGCTGTATAAGAACAAAAGATCAAGAAGCAATTGAATCTGAACAACCTCAATTACTGCCTAGCAGAAGATTGGTAGCACAGGGAACAATTACTGTAGGACATCAAGCAGGTCAACATCCTCTTTGGTGACATGCATACACCAAATCCAACGTGAATATTAAAGAGTAGTAAACAAATAATGGATTTCACGGGATGTCGTGAATACTCAGGACTCCATATCACCCCACCTTATACAGAGCTCAAACAGCAAGACTTGAGAAAACTAGCCCAATTAGACACTAATATTGCCAAATTGGAAATTTTAATATTTATGATCTACTCAAACTAATTTAAGTAAATGGTGCACTTAGTTTTAGCATTCATAGTTCTAAGAAAAAAAGAATAGAGAATAGATATTCTCATATATTACACACTTGGTAGACTATTTTAATTAATTTTTTTTTTCCCAACAATTTATTATTATAATCCATTTATTGCAATTCAAACATTTAAGAATTGATATAATGTAACCGGAATGATGATTCTATTAGTTAAATGTAAGAGCTTACTTCATTGTTGAGTTTGGCTTTATAAAAATTATTGACAAAGTTAAAATATAAAAATTATTAAATTTTTTTTATGGGGTTGTATTACCTTTGTTTCTTTTTTACTTTCTGAAAATGAAGCTGGAGAGTAGTTTCAATCGTAAGGTGCTGAGAAACCGATCGAGGCCATTAAAGGGAGAGGAATATTCGAAAAGGGATTCAAAATTATTAATAATTAATTATTTTAAAAAGTTTAGTAGAATAGTGAGCGGTCTTATTTAGTAGGTTCAGGAATTAGACTCTGAGTAGGATAAGTAATACTTAAGGTATTAGGAGATCTTAATACGTTGAGTATAATTTATTTCCTATATTAATTAGGATTTTATTTTGTTTATTAATTAGCTTACAGAGTAGAATTAGGATTTTTATTCTATAATTATTTATTTCCTATATTAATTAGGATTTTATTTTGTTTATTAATTAGCTTACAGAGTAGAATTAGGATTTTTATTCTATATATAGGTATATGAAGAGTAGAATTAGGATTTTTATTCTATATATAGGTATATGCTTTTTTATTTCACCTTTCACCAATAATATTTCAGAATTGTTTTTCAGGCGTAAGGTTCTTCTAATTGTGGTGGAATTGTAGGCTTCTCTAACTCGTCTTGGTAAGTGGTTTGCTAATTTCATTCTTGTTCTTGTTTAGAATGTTAGAACTCTATGAAGAATTAGTAGTAGATATACTTTTGAGGCTACCGGTAAAGTCTCTTCTTTGTTTTAGATGTGTATCAAAGTTTTGGCGTGATTTGATCGATAGCAAGTATTTCATTGATATGCATCGTCAACAATCCATCAATTCCAACACCAATTTTCATATGATGTTTCAAATTAGTTCCAATCAACTCTGCTCGTGTTCAGAATATTTTGATAATGATGGGCTGAAGAGATCATTAACAAAAATAGACATCCCAATGAGCCGTCAAACAATTGGCTCACGTACACAGTGTTTTTGTACAGAAATAATTGGATGTTGTAATGGGTTGCTTTGCACTCAATTTCTTGATTTTGATTATGCTTTATGGAATCCATTTACAAGGCGGTATAACAAGTTACCTCAGGCACCTAAACTTGAATTTGATCTTTTAAAGAATTCGAAGCCTTTCGAAGGATTTGGATATGATCATTTACATGATGATTATAAGGTATTGAGAATATTTCAGATTTTTTACCCAGATGATTTTAATCGCAAAAATTCTATTATTCGCAATCAAATTTGTGTTTACAGTCTTAGATTGAATTCATGGAAATATATTGAAGATTATCCTTATGGTGATCATAATTATGAGTTTCAGTATAATCATAATCGAGGGTGCTTTGTAAATGGTGCGTCACATTGGTTAGCATATCCTTTAATATTGAATGAGAATGGATTTCGGGTTCAAGGATTAGAGTGGTCAATTGTTGCTTTTAACTTTGAAGTTGAAAAATTTAGTACAATACCACATCCAAATGCCAATAGGAATGGGAAAAGTTTCCAAATTGATAATCTAGGAGGATTCCTATGTATTTCTGAGGAGGTTTGTGAGACTTGTTATGTATGGGTTATGAAACAATATGGAGTTGGGGAGTCTTGGATTAAATTGCTTTCGCTTGATTTGCATTCGTTTAAATTGGAATATCCCATTGCTGATCCAGATAGATATGTACAACCTGTTGCCTATTATTCCAAGAATGGAGAAAAACTTTTAATGAAAACAAATTTTAACACTCTTACCTGGTATAACTTGAAGGAGACGACATCTAACACAATTAGATTCCCAATTAAAATGGGATCTTACAATGCTTATATGTGTCTTGAAAGTCTTGTTTCGCCGTATAATGTTGATGATAAGGAGATAGCTGCTCAAATTCAATAGTAAGTCTTTTGGAGTTCTTTCTTAGTTTATTGAAAATTTAATAAGTGACATATTCTTCTTTTTTTTTTTTTTTTTTTTTTTTTTGCATTTACTCTCAAACTCACATATTTGTAATTTAGTATTTTTAGGTAAGAAAAGTTTTGACTATATCAAGATTGATGCAAGAGGAATCAAGGAGTTGTCGACAATTAGAGAGGCGAACGCAGGAGATGATGAGTTTATTATTATATACTATTTCTTTTAGCATTTGGGTAAATTAACTATAATGTAACTTATAAATCAAATTTATTAGATTATTTTATTATAAATAAAGGTTATTTAGCTCATTTGATTTTAATCTTACGAAGCATTTGAACAACTTCTTAAATATATTTTCTTCTCTTATCTTTTTCATAAGTTTCTATAGAATTACAATCATATAATTTAAATGGTAGTAAATGATCATTGAAATCTTCTTTATTAATATGTTTTCATCATTCTAATTATATGTGAGAAGAATTATGTATCAGATTATGTAACCATTAATATGTTTTGTGTTTAAAACATCATTCTTATTATATATCAGATTATGTGACCATCTGCAGGGAAAAATTACCAACTCTGCTGCAAATACATTGATCTATTAGACGTTTTCTAAACTAATTATAATCTACATAAATGTTAATAAAAATGTTAAAATTTAGGCAACTAAGAAAAAAACCCTTCTAACAAAGTAAAATAAAAGTTATGTGTGCAACAACCACAAATGGGTAAAGCTATACTTAAGTGGCTGTGAAAATCAATCATATATATAAGGTCGGTTCCTGTTTAGGCGTGGGTGGAACCGAAACGGTATGATTTCGATTCTGATTCCACCCTTCGGCTTTCAAGTACCTAACTAGGAATCCGTCTTAGAACTAGGCATAAATTGGAATGTCATTAAACGATTGGTTTTTTAATTTTAATTTTTCAATATTTTACATATCAAGACAAAAAACACAAATTCAGTTGTGGATTTGGGGGAAAAATATTTGTCCGATTGCTTCTTCCTTCGTTCGTTCCTTCCAGTCAACGTCTAGTCTACAATCCATTCTCTGGTGCCATCGTCTGCCATTCCCATTGCTATGGTCGCCGATTAAGTATATTCTCGTGGAGGTACCTTCCTGGTCCTCCCTCGTCTTCTCTCTCTGTGTATAGATGTTTGTTGTAGGGTTTTGATTGTCTATATGATTATTTATCTTTTTCGGTAGGTAACAAGTGGGTGCCAAGTGCCAACCCAAGAGGTATGACCATATGGCCGTTTTGTTTTGATACCAATGGTAAAGACCTCAAATGGGTAAAACCCCTCTCTAACTAGTTTATAACCACATATCAAACTATTCTTTAAAGATGTGAGACTCAATTATGATTGTTACAATGTATGATTCTTAAAATATAGTGACGCATAATAGGAAGAATGTGTGGCATCATCTAGCTTGAAGCAATGGCCATGGGCCTCTCAGCTAGCCACAATGTGGCCTAAAATGGTCACGTCATATTAGCCGTATTTGCCCAAAAGATTGCACGACGAGACAAAAGTGGCCAACAAATATCCGATCACTCTAGGCTAGATTTGGCCGCCGATTACCTGCAAATTTATTTTATTTTATTTAAAAATGAATATAACTTTAGAATTTTTTTTTTTTTTTTTGAGTCAGGTTATGATTTTTAAGATAGGGAAATGCAAAAGACAAATTTTTATCTAAAGAAGAGGATATTTAAACACAAATGTTATCCTTAAACTGTTAGTTTTAACGGAAGTTATATATATTTTTGAGTAAATTTTATATAATTTTCCCTCTAGAAAGTGAATAATTTTAATCCTTTGGATTTAAGGAGGATCTGTCATTCTTCATTTACACAAAATCTTTAGGGTTTTGGCACTCCGACTGATTGAATCCATCATCCACTGGCATCGCTATTTAACCCGAGGTTATTATGCGAGCTAGCCATCCAGAACGAAGCTCTCAGTTCTAAGAGTTCATTCTGATATACTTGTGAGTTAACCTTCAAACCTCAAATTTTTGTTTGTTTCTGTTTTTAAATTTTTAGTAGTCTCAAACCGACACGATGATCGAACATCTTGAAGAATTAATCTTAGAAATACTCATCAGACTACCCGTCAAATCCCTTGTTCGTTTTAGATGTGTGTCAAAGTCGTGGTGCGCTTGGATCGACAGCCAACATTTCATCAGCTTACATCTTCAACACTCCATTAATACCCAAACAAACCTTCATGTTATTCTCTCCGATTGTGAAAATAAAACAGATCACTACTCGCTAGCTTTTGATGAAGTGTTCGATGAACCCTTAACTAAATTCAACAACGTATTTACATCTGATAAGGGTTACAAGATTGTTGGTTCCTGCAATGGGTTGCTCTGTCTTTCCTATTCAATTCCTAAGAATGAGAGACTTATTTTATGGAATCCATTTACTAGGAGGTATAAGAAGTTACCCACTGCACGTGTCAGCAAGCTTCGCCTTTCCCCAGCTTATCGCTATGGATTTGGATATGATGATGTCAGCAATGACTATAAGGTTTTGAAATTAATTCCATCATATGGCTTGAAATCTTATAGGCATATTGGCAATGAAGCAGAAGTGTACAGTCTAAGATTGAATTCATGGAAGAGGGTTGAAAACTTCCCTTATAGTGAATTTAAGTTTTTGCGTAGTGCTTGTTTTGTAAATGGTTCATTATATTGGTTAGTGTATTTTGAATCATATAGGATGGAGGCTCGAGATTTCGAATCCCCTTGGTTAATTGTTGCTTTTAGTCTTGAGGATGAAGAATTTCGTGAGCTGCCACTTCCCAGTACTTCAAATAAGGATGATGATTTAAAGTATCTGGGAGTGGGAGAATCGTATGATTTTGATTTGGCAGTTTTGGATGGGTGCCTATGTTTTCTTAAGATATATGATTCTAATGCTGTTGAGGTGTGGGTGATGAAACAATATGGACAGGAGGAGTTCTGGTCTAGATTGCATTTGCTTATACCTGAAGGTTTTTATGATTTGGATGAACCTGGCTTTGTTAAATCTTTAGCATATTCGAAGAACGGTGAAAAACTTCTACTGGAAACACAACAAAAGGCTCTCATTTGGTATGACTTGAAGAAGAGTGATAACAAGGTATACACTTTTCCGGATGTGCTTCCATATTTTGATGCTAATATGTGTTTCGAAAGTCTCGTCTCACTTGGTGATGGTAGCAAATATGATGGATCTGTATAAAGTGCCTAAGGAAAAGGAGAAAAGGTAAGAGTGAAAGAAATTTTACTTTATTATTGTTGCTTTCTGCATTATTTTGTTTTAAATGAAGTCACTCTGGCCGACATCAACAAAAATTTATTCAAAAGTTGCCCTATTTTTTGTTATACTGCTTTAGATTTTTACTTCTGAATAATGTTATCAAACTCGCATCCTTGTTCAGTTATTTGATTTGTTGTCATCTTTGAAATTTGGTATAACAAGTTTAATTCTTTTAGGTTAATGTCAGAGTGATCAAGTGAACAGGGCGGCCGAGGAAGTCAGAAAAAGGGAAGGGAGAAAGGAATATGGGTAAAGGGACATTCACATATATTCCATACTCTGTTTTCTTGAGCATTATATCAGGTTTATGTTGGCTAGTTTTCAACAATCATGTAAAAAGACTTATTTCTGGGTCTGTTTTGTATAGTGTTTAAGTGCTTTTACAAATGATTGGCATGGATAATTCTTACATTTCCATTTCACTCTTCTTAGCCTGTTTTCTTTCACTTATGCTCACTCATATTTATCTGATGCCCATATCTCATTCATCTATATATCAAAAGCCAAAATATCCTCACTATGTGAACATTTCTAAGAATGAGAATTGCCTTTTACACAATTTTGAACACAAAAAATTATGACCCTTAGATGCCAATACATTATGGTCTAGATTAAAGCTGACCCGACAAATTCGTATATAAAAATTAATTTACAAATCTGCAAGTGATTACAGATCGGTTTCCAAGATTTGCTAATTAATTTTGAATATGAATTTGTCAAGTCACTTTTAATCTAAACCATTCAACATGTTGACATCTAATGGTCATAGTTCGAAATTAGAACCTTCTAATGATCTTATCCCAATAATGGTGTCAGAAGAAGTGTAAAATCAGAATTTAAAAAAAAATATATAATTGGGTTTTGGCATCAGGGTTTGACTCAGTTATAATGGCAGGCTGCCGTTCAAATTGAAGCTTTGAGTTGTCAATCTGAAACACTTGTGAGTTAGCCTTCAAACCCATAAGATGATCGATCTCCTTGACGAATTAATCATAGAAATACTTATAAGACTACTCGTCAAATCTCTTCTTCGTTTTAGATGTGTTTCAAAATCATGGTGTGCTTTGATTGACAGCCAAAATTTCATCGACTTACATCTACAACGCTGCATCAAGACCAATACTAGGAATTGTTATTTTCTCCCATAACAGAATTCGGTTCTCTCCTATCTATTTACTCGCTGGCGGTGGCGGCTTTTGATGAAGTGTTGGATGTGCCCTATACAAAATCCGATAAGCTATTCACATCTACTAAGAAATATGAAATTGTGGGTTCCTGCAAATGCAATGGGTTGCTCTGTCCTTTCCATTGTCTTGACATGGATGATGAACTTGTCTTTTGGAATCCATTCACTTAGAGGCATAAGAAGAAGTCACCCACTGCAAGTGTTTACAGGTTTCACAGTTTCGGGACATATAGCTATGGATTTGGATATGATCACGTAACAATGACTTCAAGGTTGTTAGAATATTTCAGTTTTACAGTCTGAGATTGAATTCATGCATAGTGTTTTGCATATGGTGCATTACATAGGTTTGTGTATCCTGGATCAGATATGATATGACTCCAAATGCAAAATCCTCTTGGTTAATAGTTGCTTTTAATCCACTGAAGAATTCAATGTGGTGCTACTTCCCAATAATAACAAATAGGGAAGATGTTACTAATGCATATAAGTTTGATGTTGATTCAAAAGTTTCATTCTTTTGATATATCTGTTTCGGAAGGATGCCTGTGTTTTCTACAGGTATATGATTGCAATGTGGGTGATGAAACACATGAAGAGAGGGAGTCCTGGTCTAGATTGCATTAGCTCAGACTTAATGTTTTTTTGTGATTTCAATGGATGCGACAATCCAAAGCTTCTAGCATATTCAAAGAATGGTGAAAAACTTCTCTTACGAGCTAAAAAATGACAGTCTCTCATGGTATGACCTGAAGAAGGATGAGGCGAATATCGATAGTTTTACCGATGAGCTTTTGCATTTAAACGCTCATATGTGTTTAGAAAGTCTGTCTCCTTTCGCTTGGTGGGGGTAGCGAATTTGATGGAATTGAACAAAGTGCATAAGGAGAAGGAAAAGGTAGAGTTCAAAGAAGATTTATTTTGTTAAAAATGAAGTAACTCCAGCTGACATCAATGGAAATTTATTAAATAGTTTCTCTGTTTTTTGTTACATTGCTTTAATTCTGTATTTCAGAACCAATGAATTTCCCTATGTTAATTAAGGTTGATGCGTTGTTTAGTATGATAATTCATCATCTCTCAAATTTAGAACGACAAGCCCAATTCTTTCAAGTTGATACCAGAGTGGGCAGGGCAGATGAGGAATTCAGGAAATGGAAGGGAGAAAGGATCCCTGAAGTATGTTTTCTTGGGCTTTATATCTGGTTTATGTTGGCTAGTTTTTCAACAATGATGTAAAAGTATAATTTCTGGGGCTCAATTGGGAAGGGTTGTGAGAATTTTTTTTTTTTTGTTTTTTTTTGTTTTTTTTTGTTTTGTTTTGTTATAGCAAGAACCTGCCACATATCTAACTGCCTAGCCAGCCACAGTACTAGGAATTTTCCTATCACAGAACTAAAATGTTTTCACTAAGATTAAACATGTAGCGATTGCAACATCGGGTGAAGTCATTCTGTTGTTATACCTCAGAAATTGAGTTTGTAGTTTTTTCTTGAAATCTCCGTTGTTGTGCATCCTCTATGAAATTTCAATTTTTCCATTCAAATTTCTTTTCAAGTTCATGCACTAACCTCTCGGTAGCATTTGTTAGTCAAACATAGGTTGTGCGTGTCGTGTGGGATGATTTTTTTTTTTTTTGGATAATTGGGGTGTCTAAACTAATTTGCGTACATTTGAACTAATTTTGGAATTCATTAAATACCCTACAAATTCAATGAACCAGATAAACTAGACCCAAAAATGATTTGAATTAAAGAAGTGAATGAAGAGGTCAACCTTCTTTATCACTATGCCAATCCTTTGGGGTTGTGGGGGACGATTTTTGCCCAATAATGGAGAATGAAAAGACTGATTGGGCCTGGCATCCTCTTCGACTTTCCACTGATCCCCACTAATCAAGGTTCCCCACTCACTTCCTCTCATTCTGATGCTACAAGATGAAGCTAAGCACGGCTATCTCAGTTGAGAAATTCATTCTGAAAAACATACACACTCGTAAGTAAGCTTTTAAACCTTAACTATTCAGCTGTTTTTTCTTAGTAGATTAGTTTCAAACCCTCAAGATTTTAGGGCTCTTTGAAGGATTGATTATACAATACAAGTGCTCATGAGACTACCCTTTGAGTCGCTTTCTTCGTTTAAGATGCGTGTCAAAGTCATGGCGTGCTTTAACTGGCAGTCAACATTTCATTAACATGCTTCTTCAACACTCCATAAATACCAACAACCATCATGTCTTTATGACCCACAACGCCATAGTTAACTGGCCAGTAATTCACTCTCTAAAAGTTTTGGCAACATTTTGGGTCAACCAGTAAGAGTACTCCAAGAGACATGAAATAGTGGGTTCCTGCAATGGGGTCCTTCTGTGTCATCGTTGTTTGAAGTTGGATCGTATTTTATGGAACCTGTTGGTATAAGCCGTTATCCGTGGCACCTCTGATCACACCTCACGGTGAAGAGGAGGGGTTTCGTTATGGGCTTGGAAATGATACTGTCAGCAATGACTATAAAGCTGTCAGAATTGTTCAGTTTTCTTTTAGATCAGATTGTCTAGTTATTTGACATGTACAAGACTGATTTCTAAATCTATTGTGTCTAATGTTTTGAGAAATATATGAAATTTGAGAAATGTTGTTCGCCAATTAAGCTCAATGAGTGTTAATCTCTATATAATAAGAGACTGAAGTACATTACATAATGAACATTTCTTATGCATTACAGGTAATATACTAATATTCTTCTTTTCAAGCCTCATAAAAACACATGGCACTCCAACACTACTAATTACAAATCTAATCATGCATAGCAATTACAGAACACAGTAATTTATTAACAGAAAATAGAGTAACTGCAATTCCAGAGAGACATTCCGTAACTACTGCTTGAGATAGTTCATGAGCAGAAACATTTGAAGATGATCTGGGCAGCAACTGGAACTCAGCCTGTCTATCTTCCAGGATTTGGTGGTCTAAGGTGTGAGAATTAAAAAATTCACAGCATGTATCACCCCCTCCATGATGATTTTCTCTCAATACGGGTCCCTGTGCTGAAGAAACAGCTAGGAAAGCTATTGCCACTACAGGTTCTGGAACACAACTCAGATGTATTCTGATTCACGCAAGGAAATATATCAGATTTGATGCAAACTCGGAAAATAGATAGGCCATAACACATATCACATCAATCGAATAACACAATAGCCAACAACTAAGTAGCAACTTATGTATCAAGCTATCTCAATGCAACTACAGGAGGACTTGGCAGAACAAAATTATCTGACATATCTTATCATAATTGGATGTGAATAGAGAATTAGTGAACACACATATTATCCATATAATACAAATAAATTAAAATACATAACTCATAAAGTCTAAGAGTATTCATGCAATATTAGCACTTTATTACCAACCAAAAAAGAATCAGAGGATTAGTTTTCTTAAAACATTGTTTTCACATAAGAGTTGGAAATACAATTGTACATAGTTGAGGAGGAAAAGGGTGGGGGGTTCAATAAAATAGATCAAAATCAGCAGTTAAGAGATTTTTTGCACACTGGGCCTCGTTAAATAATGAATCAAACCTCCCCTAGTAGCCTTAGACAGCCAGCCACAGCCAGATCACCACAAAGGGTGCTAGAGTTAGAATCAAAAGTTCCCAACACTCGTTTCTTTGAGACAAAAACTATTGCAAACCATCATTAATCAACTCTTAGGGAGAAAAAAAGAAGTCAAAACTGGCTCGTAAATGTAAATCCATGCATGTGAAACAAGAACAGGATAGATTAAAGGAAGTATCTGCATAAATCGTATTATGTACAGCAGACCAATTTATTGAAGTGCTTAAACTATCAGATACACACAACTGCACAAAAAATACTTTAAATAATAAAATCCTCAGCAATTGATGTAAGCTATGCAAGATACATGAACAGCAAATGTCTCTGATAAGAAGAAATCTGGCTTGATATATGAAGGGAATAAGTGCATAAATATTCTAGGAATAAGTATTTAAACTTTTTAATATGTTCAGAATTTCTAAAATGCTTAATATTTCCGACCTAATGAAGCGTAGGATACTAATTGCTGAGGAAAAAAAACTCGTAGATTTCTGTAACTTGAAAAATTCCACAGATAAACTTACAGTATCTCCGCTTCTTTCCTCTATTTTTGCTAACAAACTCAGTCCTGTACCAATTTGTGCATGCAAGTTATACGCTTTTGAATAAACTTATACGTGTAACATACACACACACACACACAAAAAAAAGAGTCAACTTCATTAGGCTTATAAACATTTGATAGTAGAATTCCAAAAGGCACCTTTTTGCGCTCCAGCTCCCATTCTTTCTATACTTGGCTATAGCACCAGTTTGAAACCCTCAGACAAGAAATCATCCCTGAGTGATATGAACGCCAATACATTAAAATGTTGACATACGTACTGTAGAGTGAATATACCATAGCAGGTTACAGGAAGCACAATTTTGAAGTCCCTTACCTCTTCTTTACATTCTTGTCATGGTCTGCTGTTCCCTGATTCTTTCCCAAATCTCTTTTACTAATATTAACTGAAACAAGAGTTTGCAAGCAAATTTCCACTTCATACGAAATGGGCGTACCATGAATCACAACATCCTTAACTGTCTTCTTTTTCAGATCATACCAAAAAAGGTTTATTCTATCCTGCTCAAGGAGAACCTCACTGCCTCCTTTAGAATAACCCAAAGGCCTTACAGATCTCCCAATTCCACACATTTGTTCTCGCGTAACTGAAAGTAATTTATCCCAAGAATCCTTCACTCCATACTCTTTCATCACCCATACATCAGACCGAACATTCGAAAAATTTGCAACCACACACAAACACCCGCCCAACGCTCCCACGTCCAAATTAAAATTCTTACTCCCAAACTCCGGCAGCGCCACCTCTTTATAGTCCTCAGCAGCTAAATCCAACGCAACAACAACATTGAAATCTCCAGAATTACCATTTCTATGGAAATCCCCAGAACTACAATTTCTACTCACTATCCAATGTAAAGCACCACAAGCATAAACCCCATTTGTCCCCGGATACCGACACGCATAAGGCATATCTTTAATCCTCTTCCAACTATTTCTTCTCAGGCTAAAAACCTTAACTTCACACTCAACAAACGAAATTTCTGTCCCCCTAAACTGGGCAACCCTAACAAGCTTATAGTCATCGTTAGTTATATCATAACCAAACCCAAAAACACAAACACTACACACGGAAGAACCCGTATATCGCCGGAGCTCCAGCGACATAAACGGTAAAACCCTATGTTTTCTCGTTGATGGGTTCCAGAAAGCCATATCATCAACTATATTAGAAATACAGAGCAACCCATGACAAGAACCTAGTAACTTAACGCTGTGATTGTAACACATTAAAGGGTGATCGATTTCTGAAGCTGATTCAAGTGAATCTAAACTTACCCAGTAAAGATGAGAGTGTTTCAAGATGAGGGATTGGTTGGTGTTGGACTTCATCGATTTTTCGAGATGAAGCTTGATGAAATCTGGACCGTCGATTAGATGACACCATGGCTTGCACACGCACTTAACACATAAAAGCTTTTTGGCTGGGAGTCGGCTGAGGATGTCGGCGATTATGTCTGAAGGAAGACTAGACATGGTTAGTTTCTGAGCTTAGGTTTTCGCTGTGTGAAAAACGATAACATTTATGCATATTAGTCAAGTAAGCGTTAAAGGCAACTTATCTTGAAACGAGGGGGTCAAAAAGTTAAACTTAAAAGTAACAAGGGTGGTCCAGTGATTTAAAGAAAAGTTGTTGCGTTAGGTAAATGACTAAATGGTAATGGCCACTCAGATGAAAACAGAACAAGTGCTTGTCAACTACTTTCCCATATTTAAAGTTCTTTGCTTATTTATTTGTCCAAAAACGTAAAGAAAAATGTTGAGTGAGACCCACTAAAGACCAAGAGGAAAGCATTAAGTTCCTTAAAATAATGTTATCATATTGATATATTATAGAGAATTGGGTATAGTGTGAATAAATATACGATCTAAAGTTTGATTTTTCATCTAAGCATTTATGATTTAAGTGAGACCTCTCTCAAAGATTAATCAAAATACGCGTAACTAATACGAATAACTTAATTACAAAAAAAAAAAAAAAAAAAGAGTTGACTTCTATAATTGTATGAACCCAATTTTATGTCGTCCAATAAATATTCCAACTTTAATAAGGCATGGGAAGAGATTCAAAAGAGGAAAATGGTAACGCGGAGAGAATTTGGAAAAATAAAAGTTCATAGAATATTTTTTGGAAGGAGGTATCTAGGACTAGGAAGGGAGAAAAGGAAAATATGCCTTGTGTTATATATTTGTCACATTTGTTAATAAAAGGAAACCCCACCAGGCCACCAACGAGATCCATCTTAATAAAGCCCATAGTTTAATATTTCTACACCCTCGGGAGGCGTTTGGATATATAATATTTGATTATAAGAGTATATTATATTAACGAAAAAAAAGATCACCTTAAAGATCACTGGAAATATTTAAAAAATGTGTTTGATTGATTCGAATAAATTGGTGAATAATATGTTTGGTTGGGAGGATAAATAGATGAGTATATTATATAGATGACTAAATTGCCCTCCTTTTTAAATATTAATAAAATAGTATTTTTTTTATTATTATTTTTGAATCATTTCTTTTAACCCCCTATATTTGAAATTTTGCTAAAATAACCCGACCATATAAAATTTTAATTTGTAGCAAAATCACCCCCACCCACCCTAAGCCACTGTTGACAACCAACCACCACCGCCAGCCGCCACTGGTAGATGACAAAATGGCGCACGAATCGTCGTATATGGCAGATCGTGCGCCTACAAAGCTAGAAATGGCCCCATGGATCACAGATCCATGGCCAGAAAACGACTAGATCTATGACCATTTCACGGCCAAAGATATGGCCATTTCAATGTGACCGTGAAACGGCCACAAATTGGTTGTGAAAAGGCCAGATATTTGGCCATGCCATTTCACGACTAGATCTGTTGCCGCTTCATGGCCACAACTTTGGCTGTGAAACAGTCATAGAAACGCCAGATTTGGTCGTTTCTGGCACACGACCAACCAGATCCCGTTGGTCGTGCCCTATTACGGTGATTGACATCGACGGTCGGCGGTGGTGAGTCATGGCTGGCAGTGGTCTTGGATGGCTGGGGTATTTTGTTAGCTTTTAAACTTTTTTGTGGCTATGGGGTTTTAGCTAATTTCTCAAATGTCGGGGGGTTGAGATAATTTTTATTTGGTAGATATTTGAGGGCAATTGTGTCTGAAATGGTTTTTAATTAAGGGCAAAATGGGAAGAAAAATTATATTACCCATGTAATGTTTTAATAATAGCCTCTAGTAAGGTAATAAAATTATCCTCCACATTACCAACAGTAACCACTATTTGCAATAAAAGATTACTGTAATATTTTATTATTTATAAACCAAACACAGTAATCTTACCAAATAAATGAATATTACCCCGTTATCTTATTCACCCATGATCCAAACGGCCCTTTTGGACTATTGTTTAGTAACAAACAGCTAAAGCCATGTAGAAGAATAAGTGTAACACCGTGCACTGACCCACAGGTTTTTCCAAACCAAGTAAATATTACAGGAGAAGTATAAAGGAAGAAACTGATACCTAGCTTCAGGATCAAACCCAAAACCCACCTGTCAAATTTGTGTTGGAAATTGGAGCCTTCCTAAAGCACTCGCCAATTTGTTTAGTAATTTTTTTTTGGAGGCATCCACCTTGCCTTCTATTTCAAGGTCCATTTGCACATAGTTTTTTATTGTGTAATTTTATCAAAGAGTTATTATCATATTTTTTTAATAGGCAGTATGCAGTCATAGCACTCGCTAATTTTCAACCTTAATGCATCTTTTAGCTTTGCCATGATGTGTGGTAAATAAAGAGAAAAAAACAAGTAAAACAAAGGAAAAGTGGGGAGATTTGTTAAAGAAAAATTGACCGAATATTTCTGAGACTAATGGAGGAACAGTGCGTAGTTTTTACACTTCTCTAAAGGCCATTAAAGATGCAAGATCCTGCAGAGTAAAAGCAATGGTGGATTTCCAATCCTTGCATGTATTGAATGAATATAACAGTGACACACCCACCATTATCAAATACTAAAGAAGTTGCTTTGTCATCACTGATCAATGAGTTTCGTTGATGTTCTTTGATTTCAGAGAGCCAACAGCCATTAATATTGGGGCAAATAGCCCATAATTTTTCAACTCCATTTCCTTTTAAATTATTGGTAGCATGTTAATCTGTACGTGTAGAGCATATGTTTGATTTGGAACTTACGTGGCGATCTCAGATGTTTCAACCGGACACTCGCCATTGCATGCTGTGAGGTGGCTAATTTTTAGACACTGCTAAAAACTAAAGCTGGGTAGAACAGAAAGTGAAGAGCGCTCCAAATTCACATGCTTCTGCAAACCAATAAAAAATACATATTGGAGAAGGAGAAAGGACTGCACATGATACTTAGCTTCAGGATCAAACCCAAGCACCATGTTTCTTGGAAATTGGAGCTTTCAAATAAAGCATGTTAAGCATCTTATTAACATACACAAACTAGGCCTCAAGAAATAAACCATACTTTCTTTCGAAAGCATCAAAACTACCCTTTCTATTTCATGATCAGTTTCAACATACTTTTCAGCCTTAATTTTAGAATCCCATATGACAAAAAGATCTACTTCATCTCCAACCCATTGCACCAAATTGGTGCAAATTTTAGTGCAAAACACTATTTTATCTCCAATCCACAACATCAAATATTATACCAAAAAGAATATTTTTTTTTTCTTTTATTGTAATAATCAACAATTAATCTATTTCACTCATTATTTTTGTATATATTAATTAAATATTAGGAATGATAGTTTTATTAAATAATAATTATTTTGAAAATTATACTAATTTAATAAAATTAAGCATTTATTTAATTAAATAAACATTACATTTAATATAGAAAAATATTACATCTAATATAAAATGATAAAAAAAAAAAAACAACAACACAAAGGTAAAATTTCATATTGATAGTAATTTAATTTTTCGAATTAGTATGTTCTTCCCACAAATGATCAATCCATCGGAATAGTGTTTAGTTTATGTTGTATTTTCTTTTAATTTTAGTGTTTTTAAATTAGTGTTAATTTTTATTTTGAGTTATTGTAGTTTAATATTTGCATTGAATAAAGTTCTATTTTTAATTTTTCATCATTTTTTAAATTATATCATTATTATGAATTTATTATTATAAATAATAATCAAATTAAATTAAATACAAATACTCAAATTTGGTGTGATTTTTGATGTAAAATTTAATACTCAAATTAACTTAACAAAATTAAAAACAAAAAAACAAAAAAAGCAAAATTAAAAAGAAATATATATTTTATTCGTGCTGCATGCCATGCCATTTTGGCATGGTACTTTGGCGTGGGTTGGAGCACCAACCCACGCCAATTTGGTGTTTTTTACGCCATTTTGGCGTGGGTTGGAGATGCCATTAATCGCGGTACTATTGTGCTTAGAAGGCAAGTCCAGAAAATGTACAAGAAGTTCAAATTAATACAACGTTTGTGACTAAGTTTGACAGGAAATTTTGTTTTACAGTAAACAACTAAAATTCTTGGAAGAACATTCAGGTATATGCACTGAAACTGTGTTGACTGCTGCTTCAAGTGTAAGCAACTAAGCATAAAGCACCGAGGGAAAAACCTGCAACAAGAAACAACTGGAAGCAAAATAGTAAAAAAAAAAAAAGAAAAAAAAGGGGGTATGATTAGTCCTCTAATCATAATGTACTAATAAATATGATATTTTGGTCTATGGTTTCCACCCAACATACCATTAGCCAAAAGTAACCAATTAGCGAATAATTCACCAAAAACAATTTCATACAAGGTTTAGAGCTCAGCTTCTTTCCCTTTAGGTGCTCTTATTCTCAGGTGATTACAAAACCAGCTTAAACCCTTTTGACAAGAAATCAACCCTGACCAATTAAAGAACACCTTACTTCAGTACTATGAACATATCAATCAGATTACTCATATCATCATATGGATAGCAACTATGGAAATGCTAAAACAAGAAATAAAAAAAAATTGAACTATGTAGAACAAGTATAAGTTTGAGTTGTTTTACCCGATCTTCTTATTTGTAATCTTCTTCTTTTCCTCTTTCTCCCTCTGCTTCATTCCATGGATTTCACTATCTCCATCATTTAGAGGGACAAGGCTTCCCACACACATTTCTGCTCCAAATGAATCTGGACCGCCATTGATCCTCACACTCCTGAGTCTTTTCTTTTCCAAATCATACCATAACAGCTTTTCGCCATTCACTTCAACAAGAACCTTATCACCCTCTTTTGAATACGCCAAAGGTCTCAAGAATGCTAAACAATTCATTGTTCCAGGCCATTTAACAGTAAACAACTTGGTCCAAGATTCCTTCACCCCATACTCTTTCATCATCCAAACATCCGCATAAACTTGGTCACGGTAACAAACAACACATAGAGACCCCTCCAAGACTCCCACATCCAATTGAAAATTCTTATTAATATTGTCACTTTCATCACCATAACCAGGCAGTGACAATTCGCGAAACTCCTCTTTCACAAGATCAAAAGCAACAATCAAATTAGGCACATCAACAAGCTCCTGCCTCCGAGGCGCGACCCAATGTAAAGAACCACTAGCGAGAACACCATATCCTCTTCTAAACATAAGATGGTAAAAGAATTGAAACAAATAACGTAAATATCTAGGCAAGTTACTAATTTTTCTCCATGAATTCGTCTTTAAACTATAAACCTTAACTTCATAACCAAAAGAAGAAGACACAATTTCATCAGGATCATTCTCTTTAAACTGCACCATTCTCAATAATTTATAGTCATCCTTAATGGGGTCCTGTCCGAACCCATAAAAAACATAACCAGGACTACAAGAATCACTTGGCAACCCAATTTCACTAACTGGAAGTCTCTTTAACTTTCTAGTTGAAGGGTTATACAAAGCAAGATCTTGTTCGGAGTTTCGCAAAACAATCAAACCGTTAGACGAACCAATAACTTCGGTTCCACCACCAATGTTCAAAGGGTGGTTGAGATCAAGTGGGGTATCCAGTGTATCGAATTCCATAGTATAGAGATGCAAACCTTTGAGAATGAGGCTGAGATTGGACTTGGTTTGGAGCGAATGGTTAAGATGCATTTTGATGAAGTCTTGGCCATCGACGAAGGAGCAGCATGTTTTGGAAATGGCTCTGAAACGAAGGACAGACTTGACGGGTTGTTTGCATAGGATATCGGTGATTATATCAAGTGGGATCTTCGACATTTCTGGTGTGTTTCGTTTATCCACAGAAGAGAAATGAAAGGACTCTTCTCTCTTTAGAAGGAGCTAGCGAAACCGAGAGAGAGAAACGATGACGAGTGGTGAATTCTTCATCATATATGTCTGGAATCCAGCTTTAAAACACAGTTGAAAGATTATCAGACTTGTCGAAAGATTTTATATGTAACATTTAATTAATGAAAAGAAACTAGGAATAACCGAGGCAATGAGATGCCATAAGTAATGCTTCCAAAAAACAATACATCTTACTTGACATATTTGCATACCGTGTTATGATTAGTTTCATTTTGTCGTTAAAAGTTATCTTAATAATTGGTGAGTTTTGGACCCACGGCTTAATTATATTGATGAATGAAGACAAAAAATATTTACACTTTTCTTTAATGTTTCATATATTATATTCATTCTAACATTAGATTGGAGAGACATAACACGATGAATTTGGACTTCATTGGATCACAACATGTTAAAGAAGATCTTAGATTTAGACTTAGGATAGAGGGAATTTTTAGGATGTGATTTGGTCATAATCTGACAAAGATCTTGAAAGAAGGGGCATATTTTTTACTATTAATTGGAGTGCCGCCTTAGATCAACTCACTCTAAAGTTTAAACTAATCCACAAGCAAAGCAAAGACTAAATAATGCAATTATGCAAACCACACCCACAGCCTTGAAAGAAAAAGTTTAATAAAATTTCCAACTTGTGAATTGTCTTTTAGTTTAATTTAAAACAGAAGCAGCTGTGTTTGTGTCTTCAACAATCTCCTTAGGAAATTCACTTTCGCAAAAGCATGATCGACTAGCAATAACAAACAATAAACTGATAATAAAAAAACAAAAGTATTTGGATTTCAGAAGGAAGGTTCGGATTTGAATAGTAAGCCAGCTCCAAAAAGCCAAGCCAACTTGAAGTTGAAGCATCGAAAGTTGGATAATCTAGAAACTAGGATCCAACGGTTCAGAATGGAAAAGCCACACATACAAGGCTCCACAAAATCCTTCTTCATGCTTTCAAGTTATAAAAGCCTTGGGTGATCCAGACTTCTTCTATATTATTTTTCCATTGTTATTGGAGATGTGCAATTCAGTAGTCATTGATACATCTGGGTTCTAAACAAATTCCTTACTCAACCATAGTTTTCAATTCAGATGTCAGAATTTTTGTTTTTGCTAAGAGTGATGAGAGTAAAACAGGCAGAGATAAAGATATAGACTTATTGAAATAATGTTTTATTATGTATCTGTAAGATGAGAATGTTGTGAAATTTTGGATTGGTTCATTAATGTAAGCCAAATGTTATAGTGGTCAAACATATGTTTAAGTTTAACCAAGCATCCTCCTCCCTTAAAACCCTTTGAATAATTAATTTGAATGCCGTCTTAGATCAACTCACTCTCAACTAATTCCCAGGTTGGATAGTCTGACCGGTCGGTCGGGCCGGACAGCCGGTGTCTAGCAAACACACCCCTGAGAAGTTACATATCAATCCCTGCAAGTTTGAAATCTAACAAACACAGCCCTGAGAAATTTCCATCAGTCTCTGCAAGTTGAAATCCAGTAAACACACCCCTGCAATTTTTTACATCCTTTGTCACCTAAATTTAAGAAATCTAGATCTAGACACCCCTTCAATTTAAGAAACAAAGATCGCCACTTCCTCCTTTACATCGCTGTCTCTTCCCGTCGCCCCTTGGTCCGTTATTCTTTTCTTTCCTTTTCCTCTCCTCAATTTTCGCTTCTACTTTGTTTGATTGTCATTGGAAGGCAGCCACGTGGGCTACATGATCGGCCAGATTTGGCTGATGTCGTAGCTCATACGATTGGCCAAATCTGGTCAACATTGTAACTCACATAATCGGCCAGATCTGACTGACGTTGAGCTCACACAGCCAGCCATATTTGACCGCCTTGGTGGCCTCAATCAGCCAAACCAAGAAAAAAAAAAAAGTAAAAAGAGAGAAGAAAGAGAGGAGAAAAAAAAAAAAAAAAAAACTAAAGGAAGAAAACCGGTAGCCATAATTGACCTAGTTTAGTCACTAGGTTGGTTCAACTAGTAGTTCGCTACTGTTCCACCGATTCGAATCTGGCCCAAGCCGAGTCATAAGCTATAAACAGTTTTTGTTAGTGCTCAGACTAGATAGGGAGTTGGCTCTCGATTGGATCGGTCGAACTGGCCGGTGTTCGACCGGTCTGGTCTGGGTTTTAAAATATTGGTTACAACACATGATCCATTCTTTAATGGAAGGAGGACAAAATGGTAAACCCAAGGTTTGGCCTAAGTAATTTTTCCACCTAAAAGGTTTGAAAAAAAAATTCCCACACATAGTTAAGATCCATTCGTTAACTTTAACTGAAGCAGGACAGAATGGTAAATTCAATTATTCTATTTTTTTTTTTTTTAAGATCCTTATTATCTTTCTTCCCCACCCCAACCACTGCCTCTCATCCTCCTCCTCCTCAAAAACACCCTTCTTCATATTCTTCTTCTCACTCTCCATCTTCTGTCACGCCCCCTCCCAGGTATTCCCTATCTCATCAGATCTAGGTGCTATGAGGGACTCAAGATCCTAAGAGGAGGGTGAATTTAAAAAAAAAAAAAAAAACAGTTAATAAAAATCCATTCATAAAACTTTAATGACTGTAGTACAACTTAAAATATAATCGTGAAAGTGTAAATATTAGAAATCAATTTACATAAAAACACTGTATCAGAGTGTTCTAATATGTACAAACATCATGTCAACGAACATGCATCTGTGGCCAATCGAAAGCATGTAGCAAGCACCTCATGTACCTTGTATGCAAACCTGAGAGGAAAATCATAAAACAGTGAGCTAGAAAGCCCAATAAGTGGATAACATAGTTCATAAATGAAAATAACTTCAACCTTAAACTTTTATAAGAGAACACTTGCACTTCATGTAACACGTAATCATTCCCTTAGCAAAACCACACTTCCCTTTTTTAATTTCTGGACACGATAAATCCTTAATTTGTATCTTTGTACAAACTTCCCCATTTACCATGGATCATCGAATTATTTTCACAACAATCGATATGCCTATCATCAAAGCTAAGTAGGCATTTCCTAACACGAAACCCACTCTTACTCACACCAATGCCTGCCAAGTGTCCACAATTTCCACCTAGCCTATATCTGTTGAATAATCATATATTCCACCCTAGCCTATACCCGCTGGGTGGTAACCAACTCTCCTCACATCATTATTACAAAACCCACCACTACCACCGCACTAGTACCCAAGGTCCTTAATACAAACAACCAACTAGGCCACCCACAGTCTATCCTCGGGATGACTAAATCATCACAAGATAACCATACTCAACCCACAGTCTATCCTCAAGGTGTCATGATATGATATCATGTAGAAAAACCTCGCTCACAGTCTATCCTCGGGGCGTCATGTATCAATATCCCACCCATGGTCTATCCTCAAGGTGGTACCATCCACAATCTATTCTTGGGATGGTATACTCATAACTGGATAACCATACTCGACTCACAATTTATCCTCAGGGCATCATGATATGGTATCCCATAATATCCCGCTTAGAGCTCCTCAAGCGTTTGTACTGTCCCAATAGGAAGCTACCACCATGCGGTAGTACGAACTATCTCAACACTCGCAGCAGGCTAAGAAACAAAATACAAGCTAGCTGAGGCCTGAAGAGGAACGAGTACTGTAAAAGGGTGATCTTAGATCCAAACACAACATATCCTTTCACTCCCAACCAAACACATCTTTACACATTCACTCACATATGCTTGATCTTCCTCCACTCTTTTCGATCATCAGATTTTTGCTCGCCGATAGCTACTTTTCCAGCCACCTCTATCACTCTCTCCTCTCCTCTCTCTCTCTCTCTCTATTCTCGGTTTCATCTTTCTCTCCCTACTTTCTTTTCTTCTTCCTAATCTTCTTCTGTTCTTCTTCTTTCTCTCTTTTCTTTCTTCTCATCTCTTTCTTCTTCCCCCTGTTTTTCTCTTCTTCTCCCTTTTTCTTTTCTTTGATTGATAATTGTCCAGCAAAATATTTGGTAAATTCTCTTTAGTCCTCACTTGTTTCGGCTATTACACTTTACTCCCTCCAAACTTTCAAAATCTAACACTTTAACCCCCAAAAATCACCAAATAAAATTTAATAAAATTCCGTAAAATACATGGTGTTACATCTTCTCTTCAAACACCCACTTCCTCCATTTCCTCACTCTCCTTCCCACACCCACTTCCTCAAGCACTTTTCTTTTCTTCTGCTACCTCTATCTCCAACTCCTTCCTTCTTTTTACAAAGAGAGAGACCGCTGTCGTTGGCTACTGACATCAGCGCAGCCAACCACTTTCTCTCTCTGTTCTCTCTTCTTTTCTCTTTCTATCGCCTTTCTCTCTTCCCTTTCTTTTTCTTACCTTCTTCATCTTAATCTCATTTTCGTCTCTTAGATCTAAGAAAAAATTCCTGATTTTTTTTCAGTTGAATATTATGCAAGTAAAATACAAGCGGCAATTGGTCAATGTAGAGATTGGAGATCAATTTAATCTTTTTTACAAGTGCATTTAACATGTACTATACAAGATTCTTCATAATCGAATTAATGCTCCTCGATCTTCAGCAGTAGTCCTTCGAATTAATGCTCCTCGATCAATTTAATATTTTTTTGGCTCTTAAATATCATTCCACATGTTGCATGTTAGTTGTCTTGGGAAAATAATAAGCCAGGAATGTTGTTTCAGAATTTCAACTTGGCTCATTGTAATTCTACTGATAATCTGTGACCTGAACACGCATTGGCAAAATGGCTTAAAACATATAACACAAGAAGAATCTTGAAAGCTAGACATGAAAAAAGATATAGAATACTAGAGAATCCCAATTGTATAAAGCGAAACATGAAACTATAAAAGATACAAAAGAAGGATTTGTAAATATAACATGTTACGCGAAAAATAAGGGCTGATATATGTTGACATCATCAAGCACCAATAAGAATTTAAGAAAGTATTCCACCATCTAGAGCATGCCACGTCACCAAAGGCAAAAGGAACAACCCAACCGACTCAAAAATTTGTCTCTGAATGAATTTTGTTTACACACTTGTCCAAACCTTATTTAATTTAAGGATATTCTTTGA